AGGGGGGAGGGGAGAGAGAGAGAGAGAGAGAGAGAGAGAGAGAGAGAGAGAGAGAGAGAGAGAGAGAGAGAGAGAGAGAGAGAGAGAGAGAGATGACGATATAGAAGAAGGTTAAGGATGACGATAGAAAATTTCAATAGATCGGACGTAGAATGAAAGAATAATAATTACATAAGTTAAGATAAATTATATTTTAAATTGTTTGTTACCTTAAATAATTGAGTGTAACTTTTGAACATTAATTTGCTACACAACAAACACACATTAATAATACAAAAATAATGTTAAATATAAAATATGAATAGTAATGTAAATATAATACTATAAATAACAGCACAACCATAAATATATATCGGTGCCAAATCTTTCTGGTTTAGTCAACTAAGTTTTTCGTCGAATAAAATTAATACAAAATTGTTCATATTAATTTTTACGAATCTTTTATGAGTCGATAGATTTTTCACAAGTTTTTATAATTCTTCCCAATTTTTTATAACTTTAATTTCTACAAATTTAACAGATTTTTATTATCATTCTTACATGTGTAATCTTCCGATTGTGATATCTCGATAAATGTGTTTACGATTACAAGCATCACGTTCGGATACTTTTAGTTTAGACAATGCTTCCGTGATACAGATTATTATATTTGATTGTTATATTTGACGAATTAATGCTCAAAAGTCACGCTCAGTTACTAAAAATGTGACACTGCTTAAAATATAACTATATCTTATCATTTTATCATATCATATATGCCATCCGCGAATATTTCGATTTAATAACATTCCACGTTAACAGTGTTTTTCCCCCCTAAAAAATATTTCCGAACAACATATTTTTCAAAACATTCGTGGAAAGGTAAATCGCATATATATCATATTTTTGCGTTGATTCAAAAGTTTTCCCACAAATACTAAACAAGTGTTGATATGAACAAAACATTTTCTTCCAATAACGCATATTATTCAAATAGAAATATATTAAAAAACAAAATGTATATTCCATTTATTGAACAAAAACTCTCAATAAACTTAAACTTAATATAAATTCACACATCGACAATAACATAATAATTCTTATAATTATCAGGTTGGCAACAAAGTCATGTCGTTTTTCACAGATAGATGGCTTTACTTGTCATTAAACACAACTTCACTCCAAATCCTTTAACCATTATATCATTTGACAGCTGACATTTCAAGCTTTCTTAAAAAAAAGTGCATTATTCGGTAAAGAATTGTTTATCTGACATTGAGTTAAAAATAGAAAATTAAAACGAGCATTTCCGTCATATTTTACTTTTTTACTTCCAAACAGAGAAGAACACTGTGCAAACCTATCAAAAGTTATGTGCTCTGTATAGGAATCCTTAACAGAATGCCAATATCAGTGTTGGTTTGCTTATTTTTGTTCAAGAGATTTTTCTGTGAAAGACGCACCACGGTTAGGCCGGCCAATTCAGGTCGATGACGACAAAATAAAAGCATTGCTTGAATCCAACCGCCATTATACGACACGGAAGATTGCTGAGAAGTTAAACGTATCATATACGAACATTGAGAACCCTTTGAAATAACTTGGATACATCAACAAACTCGATGTTTAGGTTACACACGAGCTCATTAAATTTACCTCAGCAGACGCATCAATATCAGCGATTCTCTCCTGAAACGTGAGCAAAACGATCCGTTTTTTAAATGAACGTTAACTGGCGATGAAAAATGGATTGTTTAAATGTGAAACAAAAAAGATCGCGGAGCAAATGCGATAAGCCACTTTTTCACAAAGCACTTCTAAAGCAGGCACTCATCAAAGGAAAATTTTGCTATCTGTTTGGTGGGATTATGAATTGCTTAAACGTAATCAAACGATTGATTCGGAAATGTACTGTCGGCGAAAGCGTCCAGGTGAATCGTAAAGGTGTTGTCTTTCACCATGACAACGCTAGACCATATCGTTGGTCATCCGCCAGAAATCGTTGCAGCTTGAGTGGAATATAGAATGAGATACCACACCCACCATATTCGCCTGATCTTGCACCATCCATTTATTACCATTTATTTCATTCCTTGGAAAATTCCTTGAAGGGAAAAAAAATTCGTTTCTGATGAAGATATGAAACGGTACTTGAATCAATTTTTCGCCGATAAGGACCAGAAGTTCTATGAGGCCGGAATCATGAAGCTACCAAATAGATGGCAAAAAGATATTGAATTAAAGGGACGATATATTACAGAATAAATTTTTGCTTTGTATGAAAAAATCGCTTTTCATTTACAAGGAATGAAAGCATGACTTTCTTGCTTGGCAGATCGTGTTGGTGCATTAAAAACAAAAGCGTATCAATCGTTCGTTGTGTATATATCGAGGGCATTGCCCTCGCATTTGGCATTGACCAGATTTTCACTCGGGTATTTTGAAAGATCGGCCTTCCTTCTTTCGCGAAATGTCGCTCCGTTTTCCGAGCGCTCACGATTCCGCAAATAAAGGGTGGCGCGTTCTCGCCTGCTTCCGAAAACAATCCGGTCACACCCCTCGGAATAACATAACACTATCTTGCCAGAAGTGAGATTCATTTATCCGCGTAAGCGCCGCCCTTCCATATCCTTTTAAAAGAATATCGCGTTCGGCTATTTCTCGTCATGACTGAATGAAATCGTGCTTTAGAGGGGAAATTGCTAATTATCGGCACCCGATTGGGTTCGTCGATTGTTCGAGGCTTGCTGAATATCCAACAATTCCTAAGCCAGTTTCTCCGCTCTTTCTCCCCATCTATCTCCGTGTGATAAACGGAGTTTATCCGCGAAACAACGTTCAGTCATCAGCGTTGGATTGATGGACCGAAACTGCCGATACGCTCCTGCCGGAGTATCCTCCGATGTGCCTTAGTCTTTCGACCGATTATATCCTGCTACGAATGGAACCACGGCAAATTGCAAAAAACTCTCCAGGATCAAAGGATCGCCGAATCCCGAGTCGTCGGCTACCACCGGTGAGCCCTCGGCACTCGATGCCAACATATATTCCTCCATGAGACTTGGTGAGATAATAGATAAGAAACTAGCTCCCTTCATAGACTACCCTGTACACGTAGAGACAGATGCAGCGCATCGCGAGCTCCGCAGGTGATGGCGCAAACTAAAATACGGCCGCGGATATCACAATCGACCCGCTGGACAACTTCGGAGCTCTCAGTTTAGCGCTCTTCGGCGACTGTTCGAGCCCTAAGAGCTTATTTATCTTGCATTAAAAATTCGAAATAGACAACTCCGACGACGTTTCTTATTTAAAAATTTTCACAATTGAAACTATGCATCGTAATATCTCCGTTTCTAGGATACGTAGAGCAAACATAAAAACACTTTCATCACATAATTCGACCCCAAGCTATCGATTAAGCTCACTGGCGGATTCTAAGGGCGGATTTTAGGGTTAAACCCCGCCCCTCCCCCCGCCCTTCCAAATTAAAAGAAATCAGTCTTGTTAGATCCGTTTAAAAAATTTAGGCAAAATGATACAGGCCGGTTAATCAAATTCTTATGTCTGGGATTCACTGCATCCAAACTGTCCGATTTCTGACATATACAATATACAATGTCCGCTGTTGTTTGCTGAGAGTCTATTAATAATTATAAAAAACTTCAAAGCTACAGCATTATTGTATTTACAATTTTATTAAACCCCCTCCCTCATTACCGACGTCAGGATCCGGTAGTAATTAAGCCTAATGCGAAATCAATCCATTCAGCTGAGTTATTGATAATCCGATAATCAGGCGATACTTCCAACTAGACGCGTCGCACATAAATACGCGGTCCGCCTGGCGCGAGACATGGCCGTGTCTCCTGATCCAAATTTGTCGTTCATCGTCGATATCAGGAACATCTTGATACACTGATATCAACAATCAACAGACGCGAGGAATGGCATCTGTTGATTGTCTCGGACTTTCGCAGATACAGATACAACACTGGACGAATTACATGTCGCGTCAGCAGGATCCGTGAGTAGAACGCGCGAAGGCTTCGCATACGATACACATATGCTTTTGACGTTTCGCATCCGGCCGCGAACATCGGCGCGCCAGCGCGACGGCGATGCTCGTGAGATGCACCGGTCGAGCCCAAAGCGTCGGACAAGGACCCGTCCGGTTGCGGCGCGCCGCGAAATGACAGCGTCCGATAACAGCGCTCGGTGCTCGGCGCCGGCTCGACGTGAGCCATCAATCGTCAACGAAACAATCGCGGTCCGCCGCGAAGAAGAGGACACGCTCTGCTCTCATCTTAGCGTGTACGCGCCCTCCCGCTCTGTCTCGCTCACGCGACGCGGCGAGAGCGGCTCTCTCTCTCTCTCTCTCTCTCTCTCTCTCTCTCTCTCTCTCTCTCTCTCTCTCTTACTCTCTCTTTCTCTCTCTCCGTCTCGCTCTTCGACGCGTCAATCGTCAACGCGAAGGCATCAGAGGCCTGGGCTCTCTCCACTTACCTGCGTGCTTCTCCGTCTTCGGCGTGGAAGCCATCGTTGCCCGGTGTGTGTAGTCGCGTGCCGCGATCCCACTATCTCACCATTTCCGCGCACCGTCGCATCGTGGAGCACGCACTGGGGGCTGTTGCGACGTTTTCAGTCTGATGTAAACCCGACGCGCACCGCTACATCTTCGTTGCTCGGCCATTTTTCGGGCTGGCGAGTGCACGAGCCGCCATCGGTCGGCCGAGCCGCGAAGCGCGGCGGCGGCCGCTATGGCGGACGCGCTGTCAATCGCGTGACATTTCACTCGGTTCCGCCGCGTCCGCCGGTATCAACGACGGGACGAACGAGGGCTGTCCGCGCGTCCGCGCCGCGTGCACACGTCTTCGCGTGAGGAAGCGAGAGAACGCTGCTTAAGTGTGACGCGCGCGCGCGCGCGCGCGAGTGCGAGTGCGTGTGAGTTTCGCTGGTGATACGCGCTGCGTGCTGCGAGTTGCGAGCTGCGACGAGCAACGCGACCGATCAAGACTCGTCGCGGTGACGATTTCGCGCTGCGATCATCGACGCTGCTGCGAACGCGCCCGACCCCGACCCCGAGCCCGAGCCGAGCCGAGCAGACACCGCGCGCCGGTATAGCCCCGCGCAAAAGTTGCCGCGCGCCGACGGCGTATAGTCCGCCGCAAAAGTCGCCGCGGCGAATTGGCGCGGCCCGCCGAGCGCTTTGAATTATAAGTTTGTTTTCTAGTTTGCAGAAGTGTCCAACTTGCACCGGTTCATTTCTTCTGTTTCTCCCGATCTCAAAATCTCACCTGTGTATTTATTCTTTCCTTTTAAGTCGCACAAGTGAAGTTGAGCTATAAGGAAAACTAGTTGAGCGACAAAAAGTAGACTTTACGTAAGCGCGACTCAACTTGGTCGCGCGGGTACTTTTGATTGGCTCGCTGAGACGCGGGCTATCGGTGAAGTAACACGGAAGAGGCAAGGCACAAGTAAATAGAATCCTCAGCCGGATAAGGAGCAGGCTGCGATAAGCAAGCTTCAGTCTTCGCTCTTCGTAGTACGCTGGGATTTCTCACGGTGGAGTCATCTCCCGGTCATTTCACAAACGTCGCTCTCCCGTGAAGGAACACGATAGTCTACTACATAACATGGGCAACTCCGGCTTGAAGCAGCACTATGAGACCGCGAAGAAGACCGGCACACTAAAGCTGTCGCAGCGGAAGTTGGACGAGTTCCCGCAGAACCTCTGTGCTTTGGCGCCATTGCTGCGCACCTTGGACCTGTCGGAGAACAAGTTCTTCGCGCTGCCGAACGACATCGGTGATTTCACGCTGCTGAAGCAGCTGAATCTCAGTCATAACCGATTGACCGGTCTGCCCGGCTCGCTGGGGGCGCTCGTGAAACTCGAAGGTCTGAACTGCGCCGCGAATCAGATCGGCTCGATCCCGTCGTCGCTCTCGAGGCTGAGCCACCTGAAGCAAGTCAATCTGTCCGACAATCAGATCTCCGAGTTCCCGCTCATGTTCTGCGACCTGCGCCACCTGGACGTACTGGACCTGTCGAAGAATCGGCTTACCATCGTACCGGACGCCGCCGCCGGTCTGCATGTGACTGAGCTAAATCTCAATCAAAACCAGATCACGACCATCTCCGAGAGACTGGCGAAATGCCCACGCCTAAAGACGCTACGATTGGAGGAGAACTGCCTGCAACTGAGCTCAATTCCCTTGAGGATCCTCCAGGACTCCAAGGTCTCGGTGATGGCGCTCGAGGGCAATCTTTTCGAGATGAAGCAGTTCGCGAATCTGGACGGTTATGATACCTACATGGAGCGCTACACCGCGGTCAAAAAGAAAATGTTTTAAAGGACGATTTTGCCACTGTGCTTGTTTACAGTGATCGTTTGATATACGTACCAAACAGTAAACAGATTCTAGAAAATTATCTCGATTTCGACGATGCATATGAAAACGGCCAAATATCAAGGTAATATGATATGCACCAGATACATGTTTTAAACAAATTTGATATATCACTGTGATTGCACACATCGTCAGAATGGAGGTGATTTGATATAAAATTATAGGCTGATACGTTTATTAAACGACCGGTATAACAAAACCAATTAGATAGAAGATAGAAAAACTCGAAGGTGGAAATGCATATTTATATTATGCCTTTACATTTTGCGGGCTTGTTTATATCGATTTGGAGTTTCCGACTGATCGAGTTCTCAAATCTTCAAAAGGTTATACAGCGAAAAATAAAATTTTATATCCTAGAAGCTCCGCGCTAACTTTTATGTGAAAGTAATTCATCCGTTGTATAATGCTTGTTGACAAATTATAAATTTTAATTAAATGACATTTCTTTACATTTATATTTATATTTGTTATTTCGATTTTAAATTCGATGTAAAAACAACATAAAGCACACATGAGGGTAGTTAAAATAACTTGTAAGAAACACTGAAACACTTTCATTTATGTGATATGTATATAAAACTTGGCATATTTTAACGCAATTCTTAATTTAATTCTAGCTTAATTTAACATATTACATACGTAAAATTACATTATTAATTACATGTACGGTGAAATACTTTAATCGTACTTGGTTAAAACAACAAACAAATATACGAATACCGATTAATATTTTTATTTCATCATTTTATTTCATCAAGTAACATACGATGAATAAAGTGCTTTTACTTAAACCATAAAGTGAATTTTTTGGAGTATAAAATTAATGTTTTACTTTTTACTGTATAACATGTAAAATGTTTGAACTACAACTTAGAGTCTATTGTTTGTTTCACATATCGAGATAATATCAGTTGAGAAAAATGTTATTATGTTCAATTTATTTGTTTTACAAATGTTTCACGAGGATCCGAATGTTAAGGGAATATCCGAATGGATAATGAATTCTAAAAGTATCGATGACGTAGAGACCATTGTTTAACCCTTTAAGTCACGCAATTAAGTAAGTAGTCGAATTCTCACAAAAATCATGATTCTATACGTTTTTAAGGTCGTTGAGTTCGAATCTGCCATCAGAATTTCGAAAAAATACGATCCAAGATGAAAGACGCAATATGGCGACTTGAAAGGATATTTAGTTGACGAATTCGTACAGAAATTATTATTCGCATTTTTGGGGTCGCTGAGTTCTAAATCACTTGATATTTCGACAGATTCCATCATTTGCTCATATGAAAACAATAGTAATTTATCCAACAATTTTCACTTAAGAATTATTATCAATAGAACCTTGTAAGATACGAAGACGAATATTACGATAAATATACAAAACATATCTAGAAATAAGACTGCCAATGCTGATAGGTCAATGTCGGATTTGTATTGTAACACAATCGTCTGAAGTCATAAAAATTGTGTGTCAAAATAAGCATATATTTTTAAAAAATACGATGCTTACTATATATGGATGATTGTTACTTAGGAATAAATATAAATACTTATTTCGCTGAGAAGTTTGAATTCCTAGGTCAATTCTAAGAGCAAATTCGTGTTTAGCACATCCAAATTTATATAGAAACATGTATCGCTTCCTTTGCAAAGAAAAATCATCATTTGTCGGAATAATAATAAATAAATCATTTAAAGCAAAATATTCGACAAATTTTCGAACTATCTGCACATGTGTAACAAATTCAAGACTATGAATGTAAAGAGAAAAACGTTGAAGATTATCGAATTCCAACGCTATTTCACAATTTTTGCAATTTTCACAGTTTCTCTAATATTTTGTTTATATCATGAAAAATACTAATACAACAAAAATTTATCAACGGATTCGTAATCAGTGACTTCAAAATGATAAATATGATACAGAAAACTGCTTCTCTGTAGAAAAACAATACTTAGAATATCAACTTTTCAGCGCAATTTTACAAATTTTCGAAATTTAGCTTAAATATTTTGTTTATAACAAAAAATACTTTACTTTATCCAAATCTGATAGCGGATTATTAATCAGCGATCTCAAAAACATAAATTTAGGTGAAAAAACAGTATGTTTATGAGAGATTTTTTTTCAGAAACGAATTTATTCCAGAAAATTCTTTTTTCATCTTAATTTGTTTATAACAAAGAAAATATAAACAATATTGATGAAATCAATGAACATTTATCATAATTAAGTATTCAAATAGTGGATAAGCAAAAAAGAATCATTAAAATTGATGAATTCTATGAAATATAATTGAAAAATGAAGAAAATATAAGCGGGACATATGTGTCCCATTGTGACGCAAAGGGTTAAACCATTCTTTATATCAAAGCTCTGTCTCGCTCCCCCTCTCTCTTTCCCGCTCCTCGCCACTTCCGACTCTCTAACTCAGTCAGTGCTATCTCTTTCGCATATTTTTATACTTCCAAATTCAATTATAAAAATACATCAATGTTCTTTGAAATTTTACTGAGCGAAGCGAACATATTTTCGGTATAGACAAGCTACAAAACTTTTGTGTCGGGGAAATCTTTATGTTAACTGTGACAGTTCGAGATGTCAACTTCAAATTTTTTATCACTTTCGTCACGTATTGAGCAATGCTTCAATTCGTTTTGCATATCCTTATATTGTGCAAGAAACATTTGTAATTTTATACAACTAGAACAACATGAAATTTATAGAAAATAATCAGTATTCTGTCGATATGATTTTCAAGTACATCCCCTTGTGAGATCCCCTTAAGAATGAAAGTATTAAAATAGGATCATCAGTATCCGAGAAAATAATAACGTCTAAGAATATTAATCACGATTTTCATATTATTTATAAAGATTCTTTCTTCGGAGCACTTTGTGCAAACTCGAGTATATACAAACCTTTCGCACAGATGATGTATGAAACAAATGTTTCATTCTTTTTCTTTTTTTAACCTTACGCACTTTGTTTGAACGATTATTCATTGCGTCAACGTTACGACGATCAATGTAATGTAAAGGAGAATTCACACTTAGGCAGAAAAGCAGAAATCAATCAGAACTCGCATTGGTAGGCTGTCTTTCTCTTCTATCTCTCTCCTCTCTCTCTCTCTCTCTCTCTCTCTCTCCTCTCTCTCTCTCTCTCTCTCTCTCTCTCTCTCTCTCGAGAGAGAGAGAGAGAGAGAGAGAGAGAGAGAGAGAGAGAGAGAGAGAGAGAGAGACAGACTATCAGCGTGAATTCTAATGCCTTTCTGCTTTCTGTTTTCTTCCCAAGTGTGAATCCTCCCTAATGCAGCGGTCAAAAAACAGTAATCATGTAAATATTAGTGTACATCGACGTTTTTCACTTGAAATAAATGTTTGAGAGTGCAGAACCAAACATGTACCTCGTTCTTAAGTCGATGAAGTCAAAGGCTATATATTTTGCGGAAATGGAATGATAAAAATATACGATGAGAAAACATACGAGAGCCTATATTTATGGTCTGCTCGTTTACAAGGGTAGTTCGTAAAGTTCTCGGCCTGACATAGAGATAGTGCCAAAAGTATCAAATGGTTATGATTTTTCTCAGGTTTAATCCTGCACGAGATCTATCGTAACGTTTCAAATAGACGCGATCAGTTCATTTGTTGTGATCGAGTAAAGCAAACAAGTTTTGGTGTTTCTCGCCAAATGAATAAAGTCGAATGTCATGCAGTGATAAAATACTTCGTTTTTAAAAAGTTTAACGCTAATGGAAATAAAAAACGAGCTGGATTATACTTTGGCAGACTCTTTACCATTGTTTTCAATAGTGAAGAAATTGGCTGCTGAATTCCAACGTGGTCGTTCGTTTATTTTTGACAATGAACGTTCAAGTCGCCCAAAAACCGCTACGATCTCAATAGATTGTGTTCACGACATCTCACACGAATATTTGCATGTGAAAAAGCTTTCAGCGCGATGGGTGCCGCGTTTGCTAACGGTCGATCAAAAATGCATTCGAATGAACGTTTCTCAGGAGTGCTCGGATATGTTCAAACGCAATTCAACTGAGTTCCTGCGACGATTCATCACTGTTGATGAAACATGGATTCATCACTAAACGTCAGAGACGAAACAATAGTCCACACAATAGGTGGAAGCGGGTGAAAGTGCTCCAAAGAAGGCAAAAGCAGTTCCATCAGCCGGAAAGGTGGTGGCGACTGTTCTTTGGGACTCGCAGGGTGTAGTGCTCATAGACCGTCTAGCAGAAGAAGGCAAAATCATCAACAGAGAATATTATGCAGCATTGCTGGGATAATTAAACGATGTTATTAAGATTAAATATCCTCATTTAGCAAAAAAAAGTGCCTTTCCATCACGACAATGCACACCCGCTCACACTTCTTCAATTGCAAACTCCATGAATTGCGTTTCGGATTGCTGCCACATGCGCCGTATTCAGCTTTAGTCCTCCGTTACCTTTTCCCGTCTTTAAACATGAAGAAATCACTCGCTGGAAAGAAAATCATTTTCAAATACGAAGGCTATCGCTGAGGTGAATGCTTATTTTGAAAGGATGGGAAAATTGTATTATACTCAGGGTATAAAAAAGTTAGAATGTCGTTGATGCATTGAGTTGAAAAGGGATTATGCTGAAAAGTAAGAAAAATGTCAAAATTCGTGTGTTTTCTTTGTCAGGTCGAGAATTTTTCGAACTACCCTCGTAATTCCTGATGAACGTATATTAAAAGTGAAAGTGAATTTTTATTTAAGCGACGTTCGTAACCCGTGAACATTCCAAAATTAATATTCACAAGCCATTTTCGCAAGCCGAACACCGTAACATGTGACAAATGATGCTACCGACGTATATTTTAATAACATAAACTGCTTTTCGTCGAAACTTCGTTATTTTCTTACCTTTATATGCTATGTTATCCAGGATTATAGATTCACGACGAGCCTTATATCTGTAAGACCTCGTTTTACGAATTTTCGCTTTTGAAGTTTGAATTTCGGCGAAGCTAATTCTTGCGTAATCAATTCATTCATTGAGTGAAAATCGATTTGTCGATTTAATCCGAAATAATGAAATCAATCACAGTAATCGTGGCATCAGTCGTAGAAATTATAAAATCAATTACACGACAATATTAATTGCTGATAAGAAAAATGTTTCACGACCCGAAGAGAAAGAGATCATGTATGAATTTTATCCATGTATGACTATACAAGGTGTTTAAAAAATAGGATAAATATTTATTTTAGCGAACTGCCAATGACCTTGATCTTGACATATATTATCAAGGACACCCTTTTGAGTAACCTTTAAGAAGTTTTAGCTGTCACAGGAGGGTGTCCTTGATAATATATGTCACAGTCAGGGTCATCGACGGAGGACTCGCTAAAGTAAATATTTACCAAAAATGGTTCAGTACCTTAAGGTCTCAATGGTAATATTCACAAAATGAAGGAAAAAGGTCTAATAAACATGGGTCGAAAAATTAATATTGTCGAAGTTATGAGCAATTATTTGTTTTAATTAAAGGAAGTGATCTACTTCTACTACTACTAAATGACTTCTAAGTACTACTAAATGACATTGATAAATTGTATCAAGGAATACAAAATGTCTGTCAAATAGTTAAAACAAACTTGCTAATTTTGAAAAGAATTCACAATTCTATGGTAGGAATATATAAAGCGCAGAAATAGGAGGACAAATAGAAAATCTTCTGTAAAGCATATTTTCTTTGCAACTATTCTTTACAAGCACTAGAAACGAGTAGATCACTTGCTCTCATTGAAATGAACAATTGTTAATAACTCTAACAATATTAATTTTTCGATCCATATTTATTAGGACTTTTCTTCTTCATTTTGTGAGTACTATGTGTCCTCAAGTCCTGAATTCTTTTTTTTAAACATCCTGTATAATCGTGCATAATCATATGTCCATAACAAAAGAATGCTGTTATACGAATATAATTGGAGTAAATGCTTGTGCTTTTGGTAGCGCATAATATTAATATTTATTTAAATCAGTGATTTTCAATTTCAACCGTTATACTGTGAGAGAATCTAAGGTGTGCAAAAATTTTTAAGAATTCTAATTGTTATCTTTCTATTATAAATTTTAATAAATTGTTTTGTTTTATTTTTTGACCGTGATGGTGCATTTTGTTTGTGTTAATAAATAAATCAAAAAAGTATATTCTTTTTTATACTCTTTTTTTTATCATCATAATTTAAGCGTGCCGCGGAAGTTTAATTATAGGTTCAAGTGTACCGTGAAATAAAAAAGGTTGAAAAACACTGATTTGGACAAAATTATTTTTTTTTCATTCAGTATCATTCTTTTTCCATGTGGACATTATATATATATAGACAAAATTTATGTATAATTTTATATAATTATATATGAACTACATATAACTACGTATAACTCTTTCCCGAAAATGTAATCTTCATCTTTATCGCGACGAATTTCCATTAGCCAACTGCCGAATTCCATCAAAGTTTCGTAAATCGAGGACTTCGTGTGCGTATTTAATATTTAAATCGATTTAACGTATTTTACCGATATATTATATTTACCGCACTTAGGAACTTAGTCTTGAGTGTTTTTTCAAGTAATTATGTATGTACGTTTGTAATGCGCGTGGTTTTATCGAAACACATGTGTATAATCTCACTTCCTTGTCAGAGTCTACGAGAATAAATCGTGTATTTATTTTTATCTTATTGCACTGATAAAACAACCCCGACTCCGCAATCCCAGTAGCGAATTTAACACCGCAAAGATCCCTCGCACGAAGTAGCATCTCTCACCGATCAATTCGCAAGTAAGTTGTAATAAATAAGATAAGATAAGGACTGTCGCTCGCGCGACCATCGGGTAAGGAAAAAAGCATGCATCGAAAAGCCGACATGCGAAAAGCCATGGAAATGAGATCCCTCGCGTAATTTTGCGATTCCACGATGCCGACGAGAACGCATTGTTATGGAAGACATACTACTCTAATGTTTGAAGTATTCGCGTTTCATCGAAGCGGCGTGATTGTCGGGTCTCGTCGTTTCTTAAATAATCATTCCGATCGCTCGTATTTGTCGCGCCATTCTGGACCCGCCGATGGCCGAAATAACGATTGTTTATGTTATGTCTGGTGCACATACCACAATAGGAGGTTCAAATGATGTTCATCTCCGGCCATTTTGAACCGCGGGCCACGCTCCGAATCAAATGTCACTTCGGTGCAGCACTTTCGGATGTAAACAAGCTCGATTAAAAGTGAGAAAACTTAGCGTTTCGTATAAAAGTAAGAGAAAGCTGTGTCTCCATTTACAATTAACATACTACAGTTGATATTAGATCTGATATAAACCTCGACATCGATATTTCGCCGCGGTATGTGGAAATACTAGGTTGGCTACCAAATTGTTGCCGCGCTTATTTCTATGTGAATCTGTCTCCAATATTTTGTGAACATTCAATTGATTTTATCGAAAGAAGGAGCAACCTAAAACTGAGTCGCTTCACAATCGATATTGCTCTGACAAAATAAGAAATGTTTTCACCACCATCGTCAGAAACAAATATCGTTGAAATTATCGCTTCCATATCGTCGCAAAATGTCATGTTATGTCGAAATAGCAAAGAATACTAACTGGCGTGTACAAACATTTTCGATACAGCCGTATCGAAAAGAAATTCTGTAGATGCTATTTTCAAAGAATTTCAGGTAGAATCCATCATAGCGTTTCCAACTGAAACGTGTTTGAATGCTTCGCTCGCAGTTCAGACGTTAGGAATTCCGCAGTAGACCGGACCGAGCCCGCGACGTTATTGGAGCGATTGAAGCTCGCTTCGAATTCGAAAACATTTCGAAAACGCTCCCAGCTAGATAATAACACCACTCAGTCCCGCATGTGAAAAAAGAAAAAGAATCGAGAACGGTGAATCGCGCCCCCAGCGACCTCTCGCTACGCCCCTGCGCGCTGCCGTCGAGGTAGCGCGCTTGAGCCGCGTAGTAGTCTAGCAAGTGTTTCCCCGAACATGGCGGACGGTGTTAGTTCGAATTTCCATGGGACACAATGAACGTGCGCCGAATTCGCCGTGGGGATGCCGATTGTTGAGAGCGTGTGGTGATCGCGCGGTCGGCTTACTACGAGGCTGCCCGGAACGGTGCTCGTGATCGACACGGCATCGCGCGTGGCCGACGTGTCGCCGTGCGGAGCCCGCGAAGACAGGCTTTTGCCGCCGACACCACCGCCACCACCGCTGCCGTCGTCGTCGCCGTCTCCGTCTCCGTCGTCGTCGTCGTCGTCGTCGTCGCTGTCGCTGTCGCTGTCGCCGTCATCGTCGTCGTCGTCGCCGTCGCCGTCGTTGCCGCGGGTACGCCGAGTGGAACGAGTTGACGACTGTGGCGGGGCCCCGATGGTTGCGCGTAAATGGCTGACCGAGAAGTCGGAAAATGAGGCCCGCACGTAGCAGCAGCGCGTGATCACCACGGCCGGAGACGCTGAGGTATGACGAGTCGGACCGCGCCGGCAGCGAGAGTCGATTTCCGCGCGACGCCGAGCGGCGTCCGAGGTACCATTGCGTCCGGAAACATCAGCATTGTGTTCGCGAACACCGCCCCGGTGCCCCGGATCGACGGTCTCTAGGGGTTGCTTTCCTCTCTCTCTTTCTCTTCTCCCTCGCTCACTCTCTCTCTCTCTCTCTCTCTCTTGCTCTCTTTGTTTCTCTCTTTCTCTTTCTCCTCTCTCTCTTTCTCCTCTCTCCCTTTCTCCTCTCTCCCTTTCTCCTCTCTCCCTTTTTCTCTCTCTCTCTCTCTCTCTCTCTTTAGCTTTTTCTTTACGCGTCCATTCCTTCTCTCCATGTCCGCGCCATCCTCGGCGCCGATTGATCGGGCTACGCGACGAGAAAGCGCATCCCGCGGGAACGAATTTGTTGTGACAGTCGGCGACTCTTCGGCTGGGTATCGCGCCAACAGCACAATCTGCCCGCGAGTATTTGGCACCGTGCGCTCAGCTCAGGACTCGGCTCGGCATCGCGACGCTCGCTCTCTTTCTCTCTCCCTCCTTCTCTCTCTTTCTTTCTCTTTCTCCTTCGACGGCGAGAGTAAGTGCGCCTGACTGTTTTTTAATGAGATGCCAATCATATGGTCGCGACCGCGTATTCCATGAGCTAACCCACGCGACCGCGTTTCCGTGCGTCCCGTGCGAATTGTGTAACGTACTCGTCATGGCAGGTGGCGGCGACCGTTCGCGATTCACTTCGTGCTTGTTATGATGATAACACGGCGAATACTTCGGTCGTCGATAGTGTAATGTTTCGGGTCGTATCGTGTGTCTCGGTTCGCGTCAGGATCGTTCTCGTGGCTTCGTCGAGGCACTCGCGAGGTGCGTTTATAAACAGTTTTACGAAGAATGCGATACTGAGCATTTTGTAGTTAAATGGGCGGATTAACATGTCGAAATCTCTCGTCGAAATCTCTCGGAGGCGTCAAAACTCGCTAAACTCATTAACCTATAAATCAGGATCAAAGATATGCTTTCGAGAGAAGACATATTTAAAAGAACTTGTTGATCCGTCTGTTAATCTCTATTTCCTGTATACTATATAAAGTTTCTTCTTTGATAACTAGTTTAAGAATGTTTGTCACAAATTCCTTACTATATTGTAAATAGAACAAACATTTATTGTTTCTCCCTCAATTTCGTTTAGAAACAGGGTAGAAAATGTCAGAACCCGAGGAAAGTTTGGCAGCTCCGGACAGCACCACGAGAGAACAGCGAGTTGGTTTCTCCCATGGAGATGATGTTCTTGAACACAAAGATGGCAAATACTACCTTGGCACAGTGGTGGAGGTATGAGTAAATCAGTACACTGTAATCTTTGATTGGATTGGAAATGGAATTTGTAACGATGCTTTATATTTTACCATAGGTGGATATGGCAGGGGAAAGATGTCTTGTCAATTTCATGGACAATACACATTCCTGGACCTCGTTTAAAGAGCTGACAAAATTGGCTATGCCAGACTCGGATGTTATGTGTGTTCTTTGCAAAAAATCTCAGCCTAAGACTGACAATGACATTATTGTTTGCGACAAGTGTGGTCGTGGCTATCATCAAATGTGTCATCAGGTATGTGCACACTATGTTTGATAATGTTAAAGTTAAACTGATTTATTAAAAAGTAATCTCTAATGTGCTAATGGAACAAAAAATGCCAACATTTGCAGCCTCAGATACCAAAACAAGAGACAAGCACAGACACCCACTGGATGTGTAAAAGATGCACAGATAATCAGCCACGGATGCGTGAACCTTGCGAATCAAAAACTTCCATGGTTAAAGTAAATATCAGAAAAGTTTGCAGCGGTAGGGACCAACCTGAACCACCACCGGATGACATGACAAAGCTGCCGTATGATGTAAGAAAGATTTAACAATCAAATACATACTATTAATCAAGCAAATAAATATTATCATTTTTCTCCTAAGAAGTATGTAATAGAATACTGAACATTTTACAGATGTTTTTATTAGATTTAATTTCAGCCTAATATGTTACATTGGGATGCACATCACAGAGTAAACGCCGAACAAATTTATTGTTATTGTGGTCTTAATGGCGAATGGTACGCACAAATGTTACAATGTGCTCGTTGTAAACAATGGTTTCACGAAAAATGTCTCAGATGCTTGAATTACCCCTTGTATAGCGGTGATAGGTAAGTGTAAGTGAAAAAACGTAAATACAAGATACAATATTTGTTATAGACGTATAAGCTATTCCTCTCATCATTGGGTCAATGCACTTTCATGATTGTATTATTCTTGCAGGTTTTATGTATTTGTTTGTTCAATGTGCAATAACGGGAAGGAATTTGTTCGGCGTTTGGAAATGAAATGGGTAGATCTGGTGCACCTGATGTTGTACAATCTGACTGTTTATAATGCTAAAAAGTATTACGACTTGGACACCGTTATTGTACCTTATGCAAATGATAATTGGTACACCTTGCAACTTCCACAACGGGTGAGAAACTTTTACTGAAACACAATCTCCAAACTGAGGCATCTTTTAACGCATATGTTACATCAGTAACATTTGATAAATTTGATTACTTTTTAGATCAGAGATGTTACTGGTCAAGTACGCAGAGAATCTATATTGGCGATATTGACAAACAATAGGAGTAGGTTCAAGTGTGGTAGAGAGATAAAGAAGCGTACTACAATATGGGGCCTCCGTGTCAGACTGCCACCACCTTGTCCAATCGTCAATCTTCCAGAATCCGGCGATATAGATGATAATGTGTTACGCAGTTGTTGGGGTGCTAATAAAAGACTGCAATATCTTCCTCCACAAATAGGGTTAGTAAGAAATATTAGACCGATGCAGAATATTACATATACATCGTAGCGTATGATATTAAACATAATATAGTTTGTTAAATTTGTACTACATTATATAGGGTATAATAATCCCTCGGGATCCCTCGGGTCATTTTGTATACCAAAATTATAAATAAAAGTATCGGAAAGTGAATACTTTCCGAGATATTTTACATTTTATTCTGATCCTTTTCAATATAAAATATGAAATATCTTACAAAGTATTCAACACTTTTTATGACCGTGCGTATGTTTTACATATGTAAAATGATTTGAGAGATCCATTCGCATAAAAGCAATCATACAGTCTCATTTGAAAAAACGTGTTATTGCACTTTATCAACGCATTAATGCACCTGATGAAGAAGATCATGTGAGGGAAATAGAATTCATTGAACCATGTAAAATTTTTCTATACGATTCTGTACATTCATAACAGATTTATTATACATACATTCATAACAGACATATTATATAGAGTGGCTCAAAAGTCTATTACTAATTTAAAAAGTTCATGACTTTTTGCAAGTAACTCTTAGTAAATTTAAAATTCTTGTAGAATATACTAAAACCCTAAAAAATTCGAAATTATGAATCACATATGTGTATGTATACACACTCAAACACGCGCAGCATATTAAGCTAATATGAGATATTAGTCATATATGCCATAGATATACATCAGAGCTAAACATGTAAGAATTTGTGGTTTTACGCAATATGTAAAATTTGACTGTGTTTCAGACCTGTGAGTTTGCCAGAAAGTACAAAACAATTGATTGCATTGAAGCAGAGTACAGCTGAAAATGTAGAAATTTCTGTAAATCCGTCAGATCTAGTAATGCGGGGAACAATTTATCAGAATTCGGAAGCGGAACAAAGTTCATGTCCAAGTCCAAATCCAACCAGTCAATCTACACAGTCCTTAAGGGAGAGGTACTTTTGTATTTATTTACATATTGCACGAAATCATTCAGTATATCTATGATTTTCTAGTAGAGATGTGCGAACTATTCGAATTCGAATCGAATCCCTATGATTCGAATACGAATAATTCGAATAGGAATCAAATACATTATCGTTTGCGTGCATCAGCTATAAAACGGGCCATCTGGTTCTGTATGTTTGAATCCTTAACTTGTAATTAACTTAACTTATAATTAATAACTTAATTATAAATTACTTTAAATATATTACAATATCAATATTCCCTTTCATATTAAAATCTTCCATCATTATTTGCATGTTTAATAGTCGTATTAAATTTTATTAATGATTCGATTCGATTTCATTCGATTCGATTCAAATTCGAGTGAAATTTGATATATTCAATTCGAATTCGAATTTTAAAAATGAGATTCGATTCGATTCGACATAAAAATTCTTGATTCGCACATCTCTATTTTCCAGTTGTATAATTTTCTGGCGATGATTAATCTGTTATAGGTATAGCGGAGGCGGTTTTGTTAAGAAATCATTCCCATTCCCCAAGTTAAGCCTGCAAAGAAGACGTCGTTTAATGGCATTAGGTAGTACAAGGGAAAGAATGTTACGTAAACATAAAAAGAGGGAGAAAGATAAAGATGCTGCCATGGGAAAATCGCAAGGAGTGCGGGAAGCAAGATATAGGAAAGCAAGGAAATTATTGAAGAACGCCATTGCTAAGGTAAAGACAGTGTGTTGATATTATTTTTGAGTTTGATATTATTTCATTCACTTTTTACTCACCAGAAACCTATTGATAGGTTTTCTATTGGCTACGCCTGTAGATAAAATTTTAAGTACGAAATGCAGGTATAATCTTTCAGGCTGCATTTGCTTTGCATTTTATCATAACCGCTGCTCACTATTTAATATTTATTTCATCGCAAAAATATGAATGTTCAAAGCGAATGCGACTTACAGTATAACTCTTTCCGTGTTACTTTACACAATCGCAGCTTGTAATTTTTAATGGAAGTTTTTCTCAAAAGCATAATATTTTTTATATCCTTATGTGCATTATCTCATAATCTTCAGCATTAAAAAGTAATCTTAACGTCAATATTTATACAAATAATACACAAATTAATGTTCACCATCTTGATACGCTTATGATCGTTCACAATTCTTAAAACAAACGCTATTCCTTACCATTATGTAAGCACTCAAACATAAAATCGAATGATAGAAATCAACATTTATAAACGTGAGTGCCCAAAGCGAACGCAATCTCATATTGTTTCCTCTTTTCTTAATGCAGAGCAAGTCACGGAATTCAGAAACATCCGATTTACCTCCGACACCTCCAACTTCCGTTTCCGGGCCACCGACACCACCAGCTACAACGTCAGGTATGTCGGAGCTGTCCGTGCCCAGTTCCGTGGATCTGATGCATCCTATGCCGCCTTCAACACCTGCCGATACGAGCGGAGACGAAACCAGTTCCAGAGGAACTCTCGACTCCTTCATCCCGCCACCTAAGGACTTTGAGGGAAAAAATAATCCGTTCCGAAATCTTGGCGATATAGTGGGTACATCCATGGGTAGCCTGAATCAAGCGAATTCGAGTACGCCGCTACCTTACAACCAGTGCCCCATCACCTTGCCTCTACCATTGACGCCTGTGATCCCGCAACCGCCGGTGGTAGCCAAAAGGCAGCTATCGGAAAAGGATATTATCGTCGACAGGAACGGACAGGTGAAACGCAGGAGGCAACATCGACGAGGACGTCCACCCCAGCAGCAGATACAACAGCAATTCCAACAAACCGCCAGCAAGACGGCGACTATTCTGCCAGCTCGTAATAATGAAGTTAAAAGTGAATTCGTCAGGAATTTAAGAAGTTCATTTAATGGTGCCTCGAGCAGTGCAAGTAGTCAAATTGGAAACTGTGTCGATTATGCCTTAAACGGTAGGAGGTTGAGACAACGGCAGAATAACGAGAAATTACCTCCTCCCGACCCGCAGCCGCAACGGAAGGGCAGCATGCCATCGTCGCCAAAGTGTTCTCCAGTGAAGCAAAGTGCGCCTGACATATCTCTGAATGAGCTGAAGTCGTCAGTGAATATTTACTTCGGTGCGGCTAATAGAATAGCCGCTGGTGAAAAGTTCGTCATCAAAGCGAAGAGGATAAGGCCAGACGGTCAGACACAATACCTCATCGAATGGGAGGGACTCAATACTTAACGGTAAATAAATAATCAGCTTACGATGAAATGTATTGCAATCGTATACAAAGTTTAAGTTGACATCAAGCAAAGTAAGGCAATGATCAGCTTGCCCGAAGTCTTGTAATTAATTCTCTGTGTTTTACAGCGAAGAAATTGTGACCTATTGTTTTGCGTCACATATGCACTGCCACTTGTTAAGTACATTTCATAAAAAAAAAGATGTGACGCATTTATCGGCGTAGAATATGTGAATGTTCTTGTAAATGTATAGATGCACCTCATCGAGTCATTAGTATAACTTTTGTTATGCTCTTTTTATCGCGATCGGTAAATTTCGCTGCCGGTTGACTCTGCATCGTCACTTTGGATCGGTTTCAAGCGAAATTTATCTGATCCGAGTAGTGCGATATATCATCTCACGTTATCAGTCCATTAAAAAAAACAGGTATATATAAGGCACTATGAAAAGAGAGGTATACCGTCCGCGTCAATTCTCCAACGTGTATATCTTACTCTCATGCATGCATTCATCTGAAAACGAGTGTATTGAGAAATGCTCGTTTGAGAAACATTTACAAGAACAATCAGATGTATTGCTTTTCAATTGTAAATAGTGTAGCATAGTAGACTTGCGAAAAGAATCGATGAAATGTAAAACGCGTGAAAGAGAAATTTCGCGAGCTTTACATCCATTGCCCAATGGAGAAATTGGCCAATTATTCCTTAATGTCGGGGATAAATCATGAGTATGACGACAAAAGAAAAAGTGGATTGAAACAGACAGTTGTTCCTCTCACTTGAGCTAACGTACTAGCAAATGTTGACGATTGGTAGTAAAGAGTAAAACAAAGCAGACATCCTGCAAAGATTATTTTTCAATACACTCGTAGAGGTAGTCTTTGGCTCCTGTAACTTCATTGTCTTGGACTACATTTTTACTTGCATCTCCTACTATCGACGATAATACGACACGAATCAAAACTTCATCTCGAAGGATGAATTTTATCTAATACCGTACAATTATTTTATATCCGTACAATTATTTTATACGTCCGATAAAAGTAATTTTGCATGCGTCGAAAAGACACAGTTATGTTGCAACTGTCGAGTAATGTTTTACGTATATTAATATTATAATTATAATTGAAATTATAATTATAATTATTAATATTTCTCGCAGATCAGACTTAAAGCACTTGTACTTGAGACGATGAAGATGCAGATCCAGCATTGCTCATTATTATACAAGACTAAGAGAAAAATGACATACTTGTTTCGTACCGTGTGAAATTGAAAAATGTATTATGCACTGAATATGTAAGTAATTGGCCAAGTTATCTGTGCAAAACATGGCAAATCATTGAATCACGACTAATCCGAGACAGTTCATCGAGTGATACAACACATGAGCTCATCGTCGTATTGTAGTAGCGCGTTGTAAAGACGATCATTGAACAGCTAGAACATAAAAGAAGAGACGGAAGGGAAAAGGTAAACGCAATCGCAATTGTAAATAAATAGAATTTGTATCGAAAGGCAGTCACGTAGCACACAGTCTAGATACGGTAGTAGTCGATAAATGTAACAGTGTCACAAATTCTCTCACTATAATTTTTGATACAGATTATTTTATACAACTCTCTGAATCCTGCTGGGATTATTGTGTATAAGACGCATTTTTGTACCTCAAACTGCACAGAATCTATGGTCATAACTTACTAATCAGAAAATTATCTGAAGCAACTATATAAGCGATACGATGTTACAGACATTTGCAGTAGTCGACGTTAGAGTGTCAAATCAAAAGGAGCTTATTAGAAGGAATTAATTAACGCCCGGTTTCTCCGTCTACGATGAATTATCGACATTCACTTCTCTGCGCTTGAGATTTCTTTTGTACTTCATGATTATGCAAGCTCACTCATTGCGACGTATTGTTAACGGGGAAACTAGCATGAGGTATATGCAGATTCGCGTTTCTTACTCGCCTGTTACAATTTTCGTGGGATACGAAGTTTTAGCCTATAATCGGAATTATGCAACTAACGTAACAATATTTTGCGATGACAATATTTTTAATACACCTTGATCAACTCGTAAAGTTGTTTGAGTTCACTGGAGAAGAGCGAATCGCTGGGTAAATTATACTTATGTTTTAAGTAGAGTTTCGTGCAAGTTTCCCAGTCTTTTAAAATGACGAAAATCTATCGGCGATAGATAATCTATCGTGTTTGAATCGACTTGTTTAAAATAAGTATTCATCGTCGCTATTTATTTAAACTCCTAAGTGCAACGGCATATTTGCATTTTAATTTCGCGGAAGAGGCTCAAAAGGCAATCTGAGGCCACTGTGGTATGAGACACACACGATAAATTCTTTTACAATCCTCGTTATACTTTTAACTTGCAGATTTTAAACGGATATCGACAAAAACTTTACAAAAATATCTTCCTTTCGCCGTAAAAGATATTTAGTGAGTAGTTTTGATAAAATTTGTACAATAACATGTTTCGTAGCGCTTTCTTTCGGCTATGAGAAGAATTTGTATTTGGTACGAATATTTCTTCCATCATTCGTAATGTATTCATTATCGACGTTGTTTAACACTTCGACTGCCATGACGCATTCGAGCGTGAGCTCCAATCGGGCTCCCAAATTCTTCGTGCCACCGCGTGCAACTATGTAATATACAGAGTCAGATTACTTAAAAAAAAGTTACACCGATGAATGGATAGTTGCATGCAATAAGAGATACAATGATTGGCAAAGTTTCGGAATGCTTTCATTTCTTAATCTATCTCCCGATGCAAAATTGATACTTGAAGAACTCGTTCTTGTTGCAAAAAAGATAAGTACGATGCTACGTTATATTGAGAATTACATTGAGAAAAAATACATATCCTGTTCAAAATAAATGAACAAGCGAAGTAGCAAAAATCATAGCGATTGGTACTCCTGTCGTCCTGTTGGGACAAAAATAGGAATTATATAAATATAAAGGTATTCATCATGTTTTTTTTTTTCCATGACCGGGTTGCATTTTCCACACGCACATATCGGCATATCGTCAGCCCGTGATCGCGGTCTAATGAGTTAATCAACGTTGCGACTTTTCCAGTTGTTCTCCGACAGATCACTCACTTCTTTGCTTTCGATAGCAGCGTCCGATGATGTGCAACAGCTCGTCTGTTTTGCGCTTGAATGCAAATGCGATGTACAAATCACAATACCTCTGTCAATCATTGTATCAATTGCTCTCACCCTACTATCCGTATTTAATGTCTAACGCGACATTATAGTAGCTTCCTGTCGAGTAATTTTCTTCGGACGAAACGTCACCGCAGTAGATTGCATCGGCGAATCGCTTGTCGTTGCTGAGCAGCGATGGTGTTTAATAGCGTACAAAAGTACAAATTTCATTTATTATTTGTTACTTTACATTAACGTAGGTACGACAAGTTTTACAATGTGAGATAACCGTTTCACCGTTACTTAATTTATTGGTCGGTTGTTCGATGACAATTTTCTTGTTTGTTCATTACACTGTTATTACTCGTTACGGTAGAACGTTTAGCTCAATCGTTGTAAAAAAGTCGATACTCCTCCGATATAAAAAATGACATGGAGATTGTTTTATTTGAAAGAGCACGTTCATAAAGACGAACTTAAATAATATGATTAAATATTTATATTATCAATGACTGATAGACAGATGAGGCAATGACTTTTATTGAATTTACCTTCTTGAATGTCTTCGACGAGATATGAAAGTAATTTCATCTTGTGTATGATGAATAATAATTTAATTACATTACTCGGATTATTTACAAATAATACAATGAGTATCAAAAGTGATAAGAAATAAATAATAAATGAATGAAATAAGTCATTTCTGAGTGATTACAACTGTCATCTGTGATGACGGATGAAGGGATCACTGCGGATACTCACATGTCACACAAGCATCAGCACGATGGCAGTCAAAGTGTTGAAGAATTTTTATTGTACGTAAATTAATATATGCGTTTCCATGTGTAATTTTAGCAAACTTTAGGAAAATCTTTGATCCATACCACAGCGCATTTTATAGAGATATTTCTTTCTCTCCAACGTAGATAATATTTGATGAAAACAAGAAATGGACACTGCCAAATTTCTAAGTTATATTTAATAAAAAAAAAAATTAGATAATTCTGCGCTATGATGATAGTTACGTTTAATTAAACGACATTTTTCAATTCGCGCTTATCGTCGCTCGTCATACTTCCATACTTCTATACATGGCGAATGCCAAGCGAAAGACTCGAGAGACTACTAAATTTCGTGAAGAAGTGTTGCTAGCTTGCGACGAAATCTCACAACGAATCATACGTGCATGCACACGCGTTTTGCTGTGAACATAAAAAATAAACTAATGATACTCTAGTAGAGGAACAAGAGAGATTCCAATCGAAATTCAAGGCAGCCACGATGTCACGTGACGTCACGGGAACATTCTGGAATATTTTCAACATTTCAGAATGTCTTGTAACGTTATGCGCTCACAGTCGTTATCTTGAAGTTGGATTAAAATCCTACTTGTTCCTCTATTTGCTCCAAATTTGTTGCAGTGAAATTTCATTCAGAAAGTGGACTGACAGCCGAGTCAATTGAAGTCGAGTGACTTTTGTTTATATAAAGTGAAACGTCAAATGAATATTTTCATCCGAAGTTAAAAAGCACATTTGATGCACTCCTTCGTCACAACGACGACTTCACACAATATCAGATTGTTCTTCCTGAACAAGTGAATATTCACGAAACGGCGGAAAACATTGACAAGAAAAACAAAAGCTCAAACATTTTTCCACTTTGCAAAATCTCAAGTATCAAATTCACTTCAATCGATTGAGACGTTCACATTAGAACCTACTCGAAACTTCAATAAAATGTTCAGTCTTACGATTCCAAGAGGTAGTACTTTTACTATCTGTTCGAGTCGATTTTCACTTGAGCGAGATTTCACTCCAAGAAATTTAGAGAATAGACAAAATTTTCCACAATCGATGTAAGAGGTGACGCAGGGGAGAAGTGCAAAATCTCATTCGGTTTGCATTCATTTTAGAAAAACCTGACAAATCAGGATTCTGATTGATGCAATAGACTTCATGAAATTAATCTGAAGTACGAAGCGGGGAAAAAATGTTCTGTGATTATAAATTATTCGATTTTTATCTTCTGGATTAAAATTGGTTGAAAAAAATGTTCAAAATATACTCGCTTTCGCAACTCGAGCTTTTTTTTATTCTATAGGTCCATTCTTTTGATCTGATCCGATAAAACGGTGAAATAATAATGGAATATTTTTTTTTGCTAATATCGGCGAAATTTCCGAAAACATCCGAAAACATGTTCCGATTTAGTTCAAACCTTGTAAATAGGCTCTTTTTAGATAAAAAATAAATATCTCAAAAGAATATCTGGTGACTCGAATGTTAAACTAGTTTTTTAAATAATTATACATATTAAGGAACACACCTCGCCGATGACCTTGAGTTTGATTTACAAAATGGGCAAAATAAAGCGTTGCGAATTTTTATCTTCAAGAATATTGTTCCTAGAGAAAAGTGTTTTAAACAAAAACTGCAGCATCTGAAGAGAAATATAAGTTGATGCTATAGAAATGCATTTTAAGTGATTTTCGTTATTTTAAGATTACCTTGATCTTTTTAAATGGAAATGGATATTTTTTTGAACAGATATTTTTTATATCGAAAACTGAAAGATCGTTTAATTTTGCGTTAAGAGGTATACCTTGGAATTTCTTTCTAAAACAAATAGTTTAGAAAATATCCCAGTCGCTCAAAATCCTGACCTATCTAACCTAACCTAACTTACCTACTCTAAATTCGAGATTGTCTCACATATGTACGTATACATTCCTCTTTCAGTCGAATCCAGGATCTTCTGAGTCGCCAAAAATCTTCTGATATACTTCTTTATTACCTAAGAGGAACCTATTTACAAACTTTGAGATGTCTGTGAAGTTAGCACGACGTTTTGCGAATTGATAAAAAATACTCATTGTTCCAGTAGCATCTTTCATTGTTTTACTATTCTTCAAAAAACAAAAAATGTTCCGCATGTATAATACCAAAAAACCGAAAATTAAGGTGTGCTAACTTCGCATTCCAGTATGACATTCCTCCCTCTAAAATACAAGAAATCGATAAATAATAAGCTTTTCAACCATAGTTCCCGTTCGTTCTAATCGCATTCCATCATGATTCCATTATGAAGCATTTCAGGACAAAATTCCAACAATTAGCAATTTTATGCGATTTTAAATGTTTGGCACCAGCATGACACACTCGACGGAAATTTGTTGTGCCGTCGACTTTCTGCACTTCTGACGATTGTTCTTATTCGACACGAGTTCTATATAATTCAACTATTTACAGACATTGTTTCGTTATATAAGTATTTCTAAATTATACGCTGTTATGACGGTTTTTTTTTGGATAACTTTGCTCGAGCACTGTAAAATCAGTTTTACGTTCTGTTCCGGCATATAAATGTTTCTATAATAATTTATTATTTGCGACTAGAATGACATTTGACGAAAATATACTATACAGTCTGTAAAGTAAGAGCGTGTACGGGTTAATGTGTAGAAAAATTTATTTTTAATGATTTTTAAGTACATGGATTTGTTGTACTCCATGAGAAGAAAGGCGCTATACCATTAATAATGAGTCCAGTCACCACTGGCATTGATAATTGCCTGGCATCTGTCGAGGCATACTTCCCACTAAGTTGACTGCGTATTCGTTCGGTAAAGACCTTCAAATGAGACGAATTTGTCGTGTCAGCTGCTTCAAAGTGCACACTCTTTTTCCTCGAAGCTTGTGCTTGAGATATGCCTCACAATACGGCTCACAAAAAAACTAGGACGATATTTGAAGCCAATGTCATTTATGCCGTACACGCTCTTACTTTACAGATTGTACAACGTTATTCTGATGATCCTTTTGGATGTATCTATTCGAATTTTATGTGTAGTCATTTTTACATGTTTCTCGGAATGTGTGTTTCCGTAACAATTTATTTAATTTTGCCCGGAACTTTTAGGCTATTCAAGCAGAATTATCCAAAAAACCGTCAGAACGGCGTATATTATATAGCACAAGACATTCCCGTCGAGTGTCGTGCTGGCGCCAAAAGTCAAAATTAATTTAAAAATACTTATATAACGAAACAATGCCTGTAAATAGTTGAATTATATAGAACTCGTGTCGAATAAGCCAGAACAATCGTCAAAAGTGCAGAAAGTTGACGGGGAGGCAACATATTTCCGTCGAGTGTCATGTTGGCGTCAAACATTTAAAATCGTATAAAATTGCTAATTGTTGGAATTTTGTTCTGAAATGCTTCATAATGACGAAATGCGCCTAAAACGAACAGGAACTATGGTCGAAAAGCTTATTATTCGGTTTCTTATACTTCAGAGGGAAGAATGTCGTGCTGGAACACCAAGTTAGCATGACATTTCTCAATTGTCGATTTTTTTGAACAATTTTTGGCATTTTGTTCTGAAATATTCTGTTTACACTAAACTTGGACAGATCTAGCTAGAACAATCGTCAGATGTTCATATCTGTCGTCTTCTTGCATTTCAGAGAGAGGAGTGTCGTGCTGGAACGCGGAAGTTAGCACGACACATCTTAATTTTCGGTTTTTTGATATGGTACTTACGGAACATTTTTTCGTTTTTTGAAGAACAGTAGAGCAATGAAAAGTGCGGTAATCGTGCATATTAACAGACGTCTCGCCGATGACCTTGAGCTCATATATGTTGTCAAGGACATGTCCTTGAGTAACTTGCAAAAAGTTTTAGTCCACAGTTATCGTTTATTTATTAAATTATTATTAAAAATTTATTTATTAAAAATTATTTATTAAAAAGTTATTAACAAAAGAAATCGCGGTAATTTCTAGAATACAGGCTTCCTCACCAATTTTGCTGAAACTATGTACAGTTGTATATTTTGGTGCACAGAATGTGATTTTGAAGGAAAAAAGTGTCGCTCACAAACGGATCAAAAGTTCTTTTTAGTCGCACTGTTGAACCGAGTTCAATAATGCAGCTAAAAAGGACAGACCGAAAAGCATATGCAATGTATCAAAGTGTAAGATAATACATATAAGCGGGGAAAGGGCTCCGCTCCTCCCCTCTCTACCCCCTCTTCAAGAAAATCCTAACCTAACCTAACTTATTGTATCTTTATATTGGCATGTTGAGCATTGTTGAAAAAAATTAAAACCTTTAAAACCTACGCCTAGCAATATATAAAGATGCAATAAGTTAGGTTAAGATTAGGAATGATTTTAAATCGATTTAATCGAAGATCGATTAATCGGAACCTAAAAGATCGATTTCAAATCGATTTTCTGGAACTGAATCAATTCAAGAATCGATCTGATAAATTCTGAAAATCATCAACACGATTTTTTCAGTTTCTACTAATAATATTTTTTTTTTTTATTTTTTTAGTTGTAACATTTGAGCTCACTCAATGGCTGCAAAATGAACATTACGTTGCCTTTAAGCCGATGTCCCATGGGCGAAAATTTTCAGCGGAATGGAACGCGTTAACCAATCACAGCCACTCCATATAATAGTACACATTGTATACATATGCATATAATAGTAAACGTGATTTCTTATTTAATAACGTTTAAAAACCCTTGATTGACGTTTAATCAAACTAATTAAATCCTTAGCATAAAGATTTAAAGATCTTTTTCTATCTTGTTCTGGCTATACACACACACACACACACAACCAAAAGAGTACCATTTGTTTAATTTCTTCAATTCATATTAAACTTTATATGAATTACACGAGGTCTACTTTAGAGTGTAGAAATTTGACAGATAGTATACTTTAATGAGTGGTTCACTCTACATGCATACCGATTCAAATCAATTTTCTGAAATAGATTCTTTATAAACGGATCTTTTAAAGATCGATATTTTTTTCTCCGTGATTCGAATCGACTTTTAAATCGATCTGTTTGAAAAAAAATCGGCATCTCTGGGTTAGGATTTTCTTGGGGGAAAGGTGCGGGGGAGGGGCGGAGCCCTTCCCCCACTCATATGTACTATGTTCTAAAGTAACTTCCTGCAAGTTTTAGGTGTTAAATGTACACTGTGTCGAAAAATTATGCTTGATTAATGAATCTTCTTTTGTTAATAACTTTTTAATAAACTATGCCGCCGACTAAAACTTTTTGCAAGTTACTCAGGGACATGTCCTTGATAGCATATATGAAATTCGAGGTCGGTAACGTGTCCGTTAATATGCATAATTCCCAAAAGTGCTGCTGGATCAATGGGTATTCCTTATCAATTAGCAAAACGTCGTGCTAACTTCGTAAATATAAGTTTGAGTTCAATCGGAGCATAGACGTTTTCGGAAGAACAGCCTTAATATCGAACAAATCAAACTTGCACGTGTAAAGATAAAAAGAGTTTTGTAGCGTTTTCTTGAAATCGACGCAATTCAGAGGATAAAACCGAATAATCCAGGCTCGTATAACGTTTCCTTTCTTTCTTTCGTCGTCGCTTTAATCGACGGAGACATGTGTTTTGACCGGCGAATGCAAAATGGGACATCGTCCCATATTCGAGATTTATGTACCACCGTAGCCAAACTCAGTCTGCTTTTTCAATACAAAAGATTCGAAAGATTGCGTAAAAACACATTTCCAAGAATATAGTAACGCGATATATCTCAAAAGAGCGCACAAGTTTCAACTTCCCCCTTGCTAGCTTTCCTCGAGCGCCCGCTATTGAAAACATTGCGAGGGAGTTTCGTCAACGACCCGTTATCGCTCGCTTCCTTCTGTCGCGAATGCTTCAACAGAGCAAAGATAAACAAATCGAACTAATGAGAAAATAGCCGCTGGCGAAGACGTGCGCCTAGACATCAGCGATGCGTCCAAGACTGGTCGAGCGTGTCCCTCTCGACAATGAAACCGCGCTGCTTTTTGTATGTGAGGGCTTTACGTATGATTTTTGCGCGATGCGCAGCAGGACAATCATCGGATCAAGTTCGAGAGATCATTGTAACGCCGCGCTCGAGTTCGTGGCCGACGATGACGGTCACCTGTAAACTATGGGGACGATTTAACAGTAGAATTATCGCGACGCCCGTAGCTCGAAAACGGGGTGAAAACACAGCAGGCCTCTTCTGTGACTTGCATTATAGAGTTTGTAATGCATACTTAGAGATTTTGTATTCCATCGATGTGTTTATATATGTTTTTTATAACAGATTACGTCGACACGTTGCGTTGGGCAAACGTCAAGTTTGCGTCTTATATTGTTCATTATTGAAACGTTTTGTGAGGCACTTTGTAAGGCATTTGTTTTTGCTACGTTATGTAACGTTAACGCTAGCAACGTTAAATATTATAATGCATGATATAATTATCTTTCTTTGTCACAGAGGTAAGTGGGTTTTCTTGCATTATATAAGTGTTAAAAAGAAAGAGTTTAGTTCACAGGTTTAGATGGTATTCATTATACTAATAAGGAGCACCCGCAAAGTGTATGTCTCTGATTTCAGCGAAACTTAGCATTTTTGTGGAGTAGCCAAAAATGAGAGATCCATATTTT